GAGATCTTTCCTAGAAGCTCAATGTGTATATGAACGTATACGTCTGCATATGCGTCTCCGGAGCTCATTTAACTCCGTCTGCTACTGTGGATTCACATTGGTTCCCTGAAATTTAGCCTCAAAAGAAACAAGATTTTCAAGATTACAAAATAAAATGAAATAAATGAAAATATATTTGGATCATTTGTTATGGAATAAACATAATTTTAGGATTTTAAATTAAGGGAGAGAAAACGTTGTATCGCTGAAAACTGCTGTTCACAAACGCTGTCCATCTAATCTGACTGAGCTGGAGCTGTTTTGCAAAGAAGAATGGGCAAAGATTTCAGTCTCTAGATGTGCAAAGCTGGTAGAGACATACCCTAAAAGACTGGCAGCTGTAATTGCAGCCACAGGTGGATCTATAAAGTATTGACTCAGGGGGCTGAATAATTACGCACCACTAATTACCACTTTTCAGTTATTTATTTGTAAAAAATGTTTGGAATCATGTAGGATTTTCGTTCCACTTCTCACGTGTACACTACTTTGTATTGGTCTTTCACGTGGAATTCCAATAAAATTGATTCATGTTTGTGGCTGTAATGTGACAAAATGTGGAAAAGTTCAAGGGGGCCGAATACTTTTGCAAGACACTGTAGTATCTCAAAAGTCGGAAGCCATGACTCCAGCTGGAAAGGAGTTGATTGCCTACTCTTGGTTGGGAATACGTTTCTGCTCAGTCGAGGAAGGTGTTGTTTACAAATGAGGAAAGAGTGGAACAGGACAGACTAACGGATGGAAAGAGCCAAAAGTGGTGCGAATGCTGTGCCGGTCTGGTAGTGAGGAGAAACCTGAGCGGAAAGTGAAGTTGTTGACATACTCTGCGATAAATGTTCCTACCCTCACTTCCCCACTGGAGCTGAGGTCATTTACCAAAAAAGGGGAGATCTTGCACAGAAGAGGCACAAATGAGTTGCCTCTGTAGTGTGGGTGGACTCTGCCTTAGAAATAGAGTGAGGAATTAAGTGATTCAGGACTAGTTCAGAATAGAGCTGCGGCTCCTCTACAAGTGAAGGAGGTGGTTTGGGAACTTCATTTGGTCTGTCTCTTGAACACCTCTTAGGTGAGGTATTTCAGGCAGTATTTGATCATTCTGGTACGTAGCAGGTAGGTGTTTGTGTTTTATACTTGGTAACAATGTTGCTAGCCTAACCCAACATGGTGATTGCGTCAAAATTGACAAGTCAAAACAACATAACGAACAAATCAAATGTTATGGTGACTGTGGTTATTGATGTTTTTATCTCTACACACACCCTCTCATGGACGGTCTTTATCCTTCAAGCTCAAGTCCTCTATCAGAAGCCTGGGAGATTGAGGGTCCTGCGCATCACATGTTCCTCAGTGTGTGCTCTTTTGGACAGATATCTCAGATGTTGCTCCTCGGATCTGCTGGAGACACTTGCTAAGTTTGGCACTTGTGGGCTGGGCTGGCCCCAACTGGGACCACTGTTACCTTTACCCTCCATATCTCTATATCTTAGTACCAACGGCTGAGCTGTCTCACCCCTTGGTACTCCTAAAACTTTGCATGTTTCTTCTTCTTCCTGATGTGGCTATTACCTGGTGTAGCTACATCTATCAGTGTGGCCGTTTCCTCTGCTTGTCCACCACTGCTCGGTTAGCCAACAGTTTGTTGTCTGTCTGTGGAAGTCCGACAGGATCTTAGTTCAGTCATTCTTAACCGCCCTAAGGAATGTGTCCCATTTTGACATGGAGACTTACAGGCCACATACGGCACACATGTTCCTGTATGCTATGCCAGCCACTTAGTTATGGAGTTTTATGCCTTGCATTTGTCCAGGAACTGGTAGGATTTCTCAATGTCAGCCACTTCTTGTATCTGGCGGTGGTACATGCCATGCATGGGCTTGCTGATGCTGTTCCCAGCTACTTGTAGCAGTCCTTGATGTCTGCAATTTTCCCTTCTGGTAGTTCAAGCTCCTGAGTTCTGATTACCTTCCCTCTCTTTGTTAATATCCAACTACACTTCTCCAATCAGAATGAAATTCCGATGTCATTGCTTTATGTCCTAGTAATGTGGATGAGTAAATTGATGTCTCATTCACTCTTGGCATGCAGCTTGATGTCATCCATGTAGAGGAGGTAGCTGATGATTGCTCTATTCCATAGTCTGTATCTGTAGCCAGTCTTGATCTCACTGAGGGGGTTCAGAGCTTTGGAGAAGAGCAATGGGGACAGAGCATTTCCTTGGTAGATCCCACACTACATGGTGACTTGTGCTATAGATTTGAAGTTGTCTAGTGTTGTACGCAACATCCCCATTGAATTCCTGATGAAGGCTCTTAGGGTAATGTTGATCTTGTATAGCTCTAGGCATTCCAGGGTCAATGTGTGGGCTCACTAGGTGGTGTGCCTAGTGAGCCTAGTCTTGCAATCTTGAGCGACTGTTCTGTCTACCAGTAGCTGGTGTTTTGGCTGAGGCAGGTTTTTGGCTGATAGTTGGATGGGACTGGTCCCTTCTGGGGATCCTTGGTGATCTGTCCGGCCTTCTGTTAGCCATTCCAGGTGTCTCTCGTTGATTAGTAACTGGTGTATTTATGTGGCCTGATGCTTATGGAGTACAGTCAGCTTCTTCAGCCAGTGGGTGTGAATCATGTCGGGGCCTGGTGCTGTCCAGTTCTTCATACTGGAGACCCTTTCTCGGATGTCTGCCACTATTATGGTTACTGGCTCATGTGTTGTGTCCTTCTACCAGTTGCTCTTCCAGTATTGCTCAAGCAACTGGTCAAGGCTGTGAGTCTTTGCTTGGCAGTTTCCAAGGCCTCAGGTATGGGCAGCTTGCTGAACCCCTTTTTTCATTGCACCTTTCTGCAGCTTACTCACTAATGTAACTATCCTTCCTCCAAATTCTCCTGTATCTTTTCTTGTGAAAAATGTAGCTAAGTGATGATAGTCTTCAAATAAAATGTATATGCTCTTGAATCAGCACTACAGTTTGGTATGATAAAAGTAATCGGCAAACAGTGCTAAGTTAAAGGTATGTGGCTGCAATGTTCGAATGAACAAAAGAAAACTGGGATATGTTGCAGGAATTAATTTCCGTGCATTGAAACAGGAGCATTTACCTCTTCTGTGTCCCTTTCAACAATTAAGTATTCACTCTTACACTCCTCAAACTCATATATACAACTGCAGAGTCCTTTGAGTACCCTCCTTTTCCTGTATGTCTGTACATGTTTATGTTAGCCTCTACATACAGACATCTACATTTCCTTATAGTCTGAACAGCTGAACAAAGACCTACCTGTGTAAAGTCCTAGGAAACTTACCTTCATCCTTCCAGCACATCGGGACTTGTTTAAGTTTTACATTGGCCTCTGTGCTGTCCAACTCCCGTCTCCCACACCTGTGGCCCTGAACAGCCTGTCTGTGCCACCCTCCACCTGCCAACGCTAGTCTCCACAGACTGCCAACACATTTGGATACCCACAGCTGGTACACCGAAACCAGCGTGCATTATCTGAGAAAATGCTCTTTACTTGCCATTGTTTTGTCTGCATTTGTCTGATGTACTCAGAAACCTGACTGTGCATCACGTACTGGGTTATTCAAAGCAGACTTCACCTGATGCAGATGATCTTTTAGATACTTTAACACAATTAAGAAAATAATGGAAGTTAACCTTTAACTCTGTTTAGTTCATTAAAAAATGAGTCCTATAGAAATTATAGAAAGTTATGAAAACAGCCTGAAACATCTTGAGAAAGATGACAGCACAGGTTAATCCTGTCCTCTCCAGTGGTAAGACTCATCTTGCGTAATGCTCTAATTGAAACTAAATAATCATGAAGTAATTAAAAAAACTGATGGGATTTTTTTTGTAGCTGTTTTATGTTAAAAAATCAAATCTAACTCTTTCAGTTCTTGAGGCCGATGAATGATTTGTGACTTTTGATGATCCCCCTTTTGTCTTTTGCGTGACGTCTTGTTTTTATGTTACACTAAAATAATAATATGTGTTCCTCTTGAAGTGTGTTATTCTCATGGCTGGGTATCGCAACGGTAATTTTTCTCTACAGTGGAAACGATCCCGTGATCATCCTTCACTGCTGATCTATGTTTGCATCCAGGCAGTTTTGTATTACAGAAGTCATTCTAGAATTACTGATTTGACCTCGCTCAATGTAACTCTCCGATGAATTTGTTTCTTATTAATGTTTTGCTTTTGCTTTTTTGTGCTACTAAAGGAAACGATTTTATTTGCACTGAGATCACCTTTGCAAATGCAACATTTTAAATCAACTCCAGGACCTTTTACCTCCGTAGCTGCTTCATTATGTAACCGTATTTCTTGAATTGGCATAAATATTTCTAATCATCGAATAGGACTGCCACAATGAAATCTTTGCAAGATCTTCACTTTTTAAAATAGGATTGACAGAATATTTTAGTGCCAGTGGTGCTCTTCTGCACATTGTTGCGTGTCTGTTGTGTGTCTGCTGTTTGACACCATGTTTGAAAGCAATTATGTGATTTCTTGTAAAACACCCTCCACTCTCTGCAAAGGTAAAAGGCAGCAGCAGCACTTATGTTCAGCTAAACAACTACAGATGTGAGAGGTGAGGGCTTTCACTGCAGAGTCAGAAAGGAAATATTATGACCACAAATGTGTCCCACTTCAAACCCTTCTGAGAGTCTGGAAGCTGAGAAGCCTCAATTTAGAGTGAAAAAACACCCACACGTCTCAGCATCCATAGCTCGCCTAAGTGGTTGGCCACAAGAAGTCATTAGCGGTCATCAGATTTCCCTTCAAACTCTTCCACCTTTGTTAAACACACATCTCTGGCTGCTTCCATTCAGAGACAGGTTTTTACCCAAATACCCTTCATTAATCACAGCATCGGGGCTGCTGTCTCATAAACCTCAAGATATTTTTGTTGACATTTAAAACGTATTTTTCTTTCTTTTATCCTTTCCTCTCTCTCATTCATCAGGATGAGGGTGTGGTCATGGGAACAGTGTGGGGAGACAGGCGTGGTTCTGCTGGGCTTCCTGACGCTGACGATGTGTTTGGGAAACCTGTCCACCAGGGGGCTGCAGGTACACAGCAAACAGGAAAACACTCTTCCTCTGTTACAGGGAAACATTACACTCGGATAAACTGAAGCACATTTTGTCTAGCAAGAACTTTGGGACTCTCGGAGGTGGATGAGGCGTCGTCCTAGACCAAAGAGGACTATGTTTATACTGTCTGCCTCTGCTGCAGTGACTGAGAGAGCACTGTAACACTGCATATGAAGGCAAGATTGTCAGTAGAACTACAACTAGTAAATGTTCAGTCTTCAGAAACATTACTTATACTTCATTGGGAATAAACATCACTGTGCTGAATGCTCATGTCTTGATGTGGTAACTAAAACCTGTTAAAACAGGTAAAAATTATTTTATGTGTTGGATCTGGTGCTTTAGAACCTTCAACATGTGCTGAACAATAAGCCTGACACATAGGAAGCAAAATCAGTTTGAGGATGAATGATGGATGGTCATATGATATCTCTAAGGGAGATGAGAAAATAGAACTTTTAGTTGGCGAATTTGTGTTTATACAAAGTAGAAACCTCATGGGCAGAAATTAAGCTGACGTAGAAGTGTCAAAAAGTGCATTACCCCCAGTGGCCACTTGAGGGTGGCTCAAATGTAAGTCAGTCACTGTAGACGTCCACGTTAAAACGAAAAACTTTGCAGCACTGAAATGCATGTTTACAGTCAGGTACAAAGAACAGCTTTGATCTCGATGACTTTTAGCTTAATAAAAATTATACAGGGGTGAATTTTTAAAAAAAATCTAAATCTTGAGATTTCGGCTCTGATTGAGACAGGCAGCTGTAGCCTAACCTCCTCTAATAAGAGTCACTAAACAGGACATGCTGTGTGGTGCAGACTGTCCAGTAAGTTTCTCCTAATTTTGAATATAGCTATTTAATCAAGCTTTCTGGGGTGAACTGACAACCAAATATGGTAACTTTGGGCTCCAAGAAACAACATAGCAACAGTGAAAGAGGCTTCAAAATGACCACAGTGGCCAGGTCCATCTATGGCGTGTACTTCATATTTGACATAATTCATTATAGAACAAAGCTTACGCTTTTCATTATAGTATGAGCTTTTTGCAACTCCTAAAGAAACTACATTAGTAAGTACATAGAATTAGCCTTTAAAATATGATATTGGGGTTTTAAAAAATAATTATGAACTCAATTTGAATGATCAGATTTCTGATAAACAATATTCCTCCCCAGAAATAAAGCCACTAAAAGTAAAACCATGACATCGTGTTTAAACTGAAAACAGTCTTTATGACCAGTTAAGTTAATGTAGGCTCATGTGCACCATATACATGCTATATGTCCACTGTACATGAACCATTGCTATCAGTCATGAGTAGTCACATTAAACAAGCCTGGTGTCAGAGGTAGCGTACTGTAAAATGCCATGTTCAAACTAAATTGATCTTAATAGGATGGCCAGACTGAGAAATATCACTTCTTTCTCTGAGAGCGAAAATTAAAGAATGACAGAATGCACCAACAAAGCAAAATAAATCAATTTAAACCAAATGAGCTGAAACTAAAAGACATAAAAGTCTAAAATACCAAATACTCAGTAATTTAAGCAGGTTGGTGAACGGCTGTAAAACTGATCTCTCAGCCCACCGATCAATGACTCTTCTCAGCTCCCTCTGCTCTAACTCTTGCCCATCTCCCATTCTCTTTCACATACGCTGAGTGTCTGGTATTTCCAGTGTCTCTCACTCTCTCTCTCTCTCCCACAGCTGCTCCATCTCACACCTTTTCAAGGTGCTCAGCGCACATTCCAGCGGTCACTCTGATAAATCTGTCTGAATAAAAGGCGACACAGCCACCGGCCTTAGTTAATGCTGCTGGTGCACACCAGGAATGTGTGAAACGCTGAACGTCTTCACGAGCCAAAGCCTCAGCACAAAACACTCTGACGATCATTTAGCGTGATTCTGCTCGACTGTGACGCACGCTGCTGTGCTAACTCTGTTTTTGTACCACTAGCATTAATGCTATGACAGCTGCAAATGCTGCTTCTGCTTTTTCTGCCACTTTTGCTTGTGTCAATATTCCACAGCGAGTGCTAGCACTAGTGGCAGATGCCCAGAATATCAAAAGGTTTAGCAAATTATTAGCCCATTAACCTACAGTGAAGCTTACTTGATCATGTCAGTTTTAGAGTACAATCAGGAATTTGCAATTCTGAGCTAAATGCAACAAATGAAATACCCCCTTTTATGGATTAAAATTTGCATGTTTTAAATAAACTTGATAATGTGACTTCCTGTGCTGCAAAGAAAGTTTGATCAAATATTTACAAATTCGAAAGTTTACAGTTAGAAAAGATATGAGTATATAGTAGTAAATGGGAGGTTATTCTCCTGCTAGGCCAAGTTCATCAAGGCTACAATCCATCTTTGGTTCACTGGAGAGGAACCCAAATGGCACTGAGGAAGACCTCGACCAGCTGCTTTATAAAACAGTTTTTAAAATAAAAACCATATGGCATCTTTAAGACTATTAACACAAAACAAAGGCACCACTACATTGGCAGGTTTAGCAGTGTTTGTTTATTTTTTATGTGTAGTAAAGTTTGTGTGTGTGTGTGTGTAGGAGGACGGAGTGGCCTCCAACAGTCTGGAGGAGCAGCTCGAGGTGACCACGTACTGGTGGGGGGAATGGGCCAAGTGGACAGCGTGCACTCGTACCTGTGGAGGAGGAGTGATGTCACAGGAGCGTCACTGCCTCAAACAGAGGTCAGTCAGTCTGCACCAGACGACAAGCTAAAATATCCCAGAAATGGACACATCTCCAACCCTGTTTAATACTGTTCGTGGTATTTTACATACAGTCAGCGGTTAAAGTGGGATTTGGCCTAAGATCACCGCAGAGGGGAAAATTACTTGCCTCCAATAAACTTCCAAATTGTTCTACTGTGAGCTCCAGTTGATTTTTCTTTGTAGGCAGACTGTCCTATAAGGTGCTCTTTGTGACTGTAAAGCTGACTGGTCTAAGGAGCTTGGAAAGAAAAGCGTCTGGACTTCTTTAAATTGCTTGAAGACATTTCACCTCTCATCTGAGAAGCTTGTTCAGATGAAGCCTGTTCAGAGTGGGAGTGCCCCCTCTGAACAAGCTTCATCTGAAGAGGGACAAAGGACCCCCTGATGATCCTCTACCTAATCACATGAGCCAAGGTGTGAAAACTGGTGTAGCTCACAATCAGCCAAGGTTTCAGGTGAGCTCATTGTGAAACCTGGACCCACCCTATCATGTGATTTCCTGAGGTCAGATGGCCCAAGATGTGAGTGGGCGTTAAGGCGTCTGGGAAGGGATCTCAAAACTGGATTATAGATGGCAGAGAGTTGGTGTCGTAAACCACTGCCTCTGTTCAAAAATGGTCGCTCACAGTGGACGTAAATGGCTTCTTTCACTCCTCTTTCAAACCATCTGTCCTCTCTGTCCAAAATGTGAACATTGGCATCCTTGAAAGAGTGACCTTTGTCCTTTAGATGCAGATAGACCGCTGAGTCTTGTCCCGTGGAGGCGGCTCTTCTATGTTGTGCCATGCGTTTATGAAGTGGTTGTTTGGTCTCTCCAATGTAGAGGTCTGGGCATTCCTCACTGCACTGTACAGCAAACACCACATTGTTAAGTTTGTGTTTTGGATTTTTGTCTTTGGGATGAACCAGTTTTTGTGTGAGTGTGTTGCTGGGTCTGAAATGCACCGGGATGTCGTGCTTTCTGATACACCAGCTACATAGAGGATGACAATGTTGTTGCGTTTGTTTTTCCATTCCTCCCTAGCTGGTGTCTGATCTTCTTTTCTGTGCCTCTTTGCTGACTTGATGAAACTCCAATTAGCCCGATCCCAATCCTTTCATCAAATCAGCAAAGATGCACATGAAGCAAAGATGCAGATCAACTTATTTTTAGACTCTCGTGCTTTAATGGCAGTAACAGGAAAGCATTAAAGTACATATCCATGCAAAAAGCAACACAACCGTCACACAAAAGCCAAAAAACCCCAAACACCACTAATTTCAAACTCCCTTTTTAGATCCCGGATGAGCCCCCACTTGTTACGTTCCCCTGAGGGGTCTAGGCGGTGAGGGGGAAGTAACAAAAAGTGTTCGGGTCAAGAAAAAGAGTCAAGGAGGCAAAAGGGTTAAATTAAACAGTTTTATTAAAGTAGCTCAACTAAAAGAGACGGACAAGCCGCTATCACCATTTAGGGAAAACAAACAAAACTCAAGCATTGGTCAATAAAGTAAAAAGTAAGTCAAAAAGAGAGCAGCTCACTAGCTGCAACCACACAAACACAAAGCTCACTAGCTGCAATCACACTAATGGCACTCTGGCCCAGAGCTCACCTTTCCCTGGGATTAAATACTTTTAATTACTGATGAGAGTCAGCTGTGTAAAAGGGAAAGGTGGCACCTCAGGCAGAAGCGATTGAAGGACACTCCCACACAGGCACCTTCAGGAGGAGGCCCTGCTAGGGCCGTAACACATTAACAGTAATGTGTGCCAGTTGTGCATGTTCTAATTCAATGAGCTCACAGTAAAATGTAGGAAATTTGAGAAGAGGAAACAGAAACTATAACTTCTGGCTGAAAATGCCTCCTTCGTGCCAGAGGTGAGAGGCGAATGGCCAGACTGCTTTGAAGTGATAGGAAGGCAACAGTAACTCAACACAACAAAGCTATGAAGAAGAGCATATCTGAATGCACACTTGTTGTACCTTGAAGCAGATGAGCTACAGCAGCAGAGGACCACACCAGGTGCCACTCCTGTCAGCTAAAAACAGGAAACTAGAAAAACGTTCACTTTTTTGAGCGCTTGGGTGAGAATTTGGCACAACCAACACAGAAGCATTCAACCATCCTGCCTTCTTGTTAGTAGTAAGTCAGATTTCTAGTGGTGGTTCAGTTATGTGGGGGATATTTTGTTCCCCTTAATATCAACTAAGCATCATTTAAAATCTTATAGTCTGAATATTGTTGCTGATAACTTGCCATGTCACAAAGGTCAAATCATCTCAAACTGCTTTCCTGAACAGGAGAATGTGCTTACTGTACTCAAATGACTTCCAGAGTCACCAGATCTCACTCCAATAGAGCACATTTGAGATGTGGCAGAATGAAACATTCACATCTTGGATCTGCTCTCAACAAATATGAACTCACCCG